TATGGCAGCAAAGCCAGCTTAGATGCTCTTCTTTATTTCTGAGATCTAAATGTTTTCAGACGGGACATTCTAGGTGGGAAGTTCTCAGTGCCAAAACTAACTTCCTCATGGTTTATAGGCATATGGCCCCACCTGGAATGCTAGACTGCTCTGGTCACTCCATTCCAAAAGATGCATCATGTTTAGAAAAGGTTGCAAGGTGAGCAATAAAATAATTTAGAGGGATGGAGAAACTGAAAATATTGATAGTTAAATCTTAGAAATGAGACTGTGTGAGGTGATATGCTAGAGGTATAGATGGGCAAATGAGCTGCATTTATATACCTTTTCTCATAATACTAGGAATGTTTACATTTGATGAAAATGAAAGGTGTGATGCAAGCTAAAAGGAAATGGGTCTTTCATAACATCTCTTTCATCCACTGTCTTACAGCAGTAAGTTTCCACAGGGAATCTGAGAGCCTAGAAAAACCAGAAGGATCAGATGCTTTTACAGATAATGGGAACTTCAGCACTGCCGAACAAAGTCATAAATCCTAATGCTTCATACAATAATCAGTAATTGGAGGGGCTTAGAACCTGCCAGTGGGTGGAGTTTATTCCACATCTGTCTATAGGAGACTCTTGAACTTTCTTCATAACTACTGGTGCTGGTTTCTGTAAAACAGGATGCTCCAGCAAGGGTCTGGACACCTATGGCACTTTTTACGTTTAGGGCATAGAATATGGTATCTATTTGTTTACTTGGACAATAACTTAAAAAAATCAGGAACTGGCCTTCAGGGGTGCCTGTACACAAATGCAGAGGCTGCTCCGACGCTGTAATTACAGCACATTGGAGCAGGCTCATTTAACCAGTAATTACAAGTAATCGCCAATGATTACCAACAATCTTCAATTGCCAATTAATTACTGGCAATCATTTGTAATTAACTGGTAATTACCACACTCCAGCCAGCCTCTATGTCTCCTGTATCAGCATCCCCCCACTTCAAAATGGCGCCGGTGGTGCTTGAACTAAAGCTTGTTGAATGACCTTTACACAAGACACTGAGGCACTTTAATTACACAGAGGAGCTTTACTTACATGGAGGAACTTTACATAAGACATGGAGGAGCTTTGCACGAGCTTTACACACTTTAATTACACAGAAGAGCTTTACATGAGACACGGAGGTGCTTTAATTAGAGCAGCTGTTGGAGCCACTCTAAAGTGTTGCGCTGGCTCCCCACCCCCCAAAAACATATAGAAGTGTCCTAGATGCCTAACTCCATAGTGAAGCATCTACCTGGCTTTTGAAAGTGCTTTGACTTTCTTTTCGTGGGTGTATTTTACGTATCTTGTGTTGCAAGCTTCCAGTGCATTGGAAACTGGATCTGAAGCTGTAGGTCTAACCCAATACAACTAATTAATATAAATATAGGAAGAGTCTATTTAAAATTCACTAGTGTTTTGTTTTCTGTGCACTCTTATGGTGTTATAATAAGGTTTAGATTAGGTGGAAACAATAATCTAGACTTTTCCAGCCTCTTAACCATCTTACCTGATGCCTTAGTCATTCCTTAAGAGCTGTATACAATAGTTGTTCTTTGCTATTTTTTTAAAAGAACAAGCACCATTTGTTTTTCTTAGGTGCTCCACATTGGCAGACAAAACTAGAAGCTGCACAAAATGTCCTGCTATGTAAAGAAATCTTTGCCCAGCTGTCAAGAGAAGCAGTTCAAATTAAGTCACAAATTCCTCACATTGTTGTGAAGAACCAGATCATCTCTCAGCCTTTTCCAGGTAGGAAACTTTTGGGATACTCTTGTTCTATAAATGGGGAATCCAGACTGAAACACTGATTTGGTGAAGGTTTTCTTGGTAAATAAGTTGACATCTTACTCATACCAAATAGATGCATGATGTTCCCTGAATTCTGCAATTAATTCCAACTAAATAAGAAGAGCCAAGAAACAACTATAAAAAATCCCTACATGACCACACTTTAGCTGGTGCACTTACACTGCTGGTGGCATTGTTTTTAAACACAGTTCTCTGTCCATCAAAAATAATGATAACCAAAAGCACCTCCTCATGGAGGTCATCCTTTGAGGCTGTGTATCAGTCGACGTAGGAGAAAGATTTAATCTGTTAATGGACCTTGAAGAGAGGTAAATTGGTTGCCATTTATCCTGGAAGGTCAGCAGTGTGGGGAACCTGAAAGCATCGCTAGTTGTTTAAAGAATTCTCCATTCCTTAACCTGACTGCACCTGCTCAGGGCTATTTTTCTGCATTTATTCAAAAACAAGCAATATTGTATGTAAGTTATTCTTTCCTTGCTATGTTATAAAGAGTTTCTCCTTTTTTTCAACTTGCTTGAGTCCATAAAGATGGAAAACACCTCCATCTCTGACTTCTGTTGTCCTAGCAGCCAAAGTCAAATCAGCTACAGGTTCTTTGATTAATTATATATTAAATTAAAATGCAGCAGTTTTTTATGAGATGTTATTTGCTTTTCAACTGCAGTCTGACCTGATTGTTTTACCTTCTCTGAAATTTTAAATATTGCTTTGAAAGCGAACACTATGGTTAGAAGAGGAGGAAAGAAGAAAAGAATAAAAAAAGATTTTCTGGCCATGTATTAGTCTACATGAAAATATTGACGGTTATTTTCTTCATTTTTTGTGCAGGATTGCAATTGTCTATATCCTTGTGTCACTCTTCTAATGATAAGAAATCTCAAAAGTCTGCCTCTGACAGACAAAGTCCAGAGGATCATCTCTATGTCCTGGAACACAACTTGCATCAGCTGATCAGAGAGGTAACACATTTTAGTTGAAAACTGACATTGTTTTTCCTTCAGGAGTCTGGTTTGGAGTCTTGAATACAATGTCGTGACACTATTGCACTATTAAAGGTCAGTCAGTTCCTCCCTGTGTAAAGCAGCCCTATTACATGTCTAAAGAAGTGTCTCCATTGTATAAATATGCAAGGCTGATATTAGAAGCTCCACTTGTACTTATGTGAAATATTATTCCCTTGATTTAGCCTCTTGATTACAAGAAGATGGTTCTGAATCTTTCCTGCATTAAGACTCCTCACCTTTCTCTTGCTCCAGAAATTGGTTGTCAGGCTCTTTAAAGCAGATATCAGTGCAGGCACTGACAAAAGAAAAGCGCTACCTGCGCTGCTTCTGGAGCCTGACGATAGAATTTTTATTTAATAGCAGGCATTAAGTAATGACTGAGCCTGTGACCCTCTGTGTTCCCTTGGGTGGTAGAGGAGGAGAGGGTCAGGGCACAAAGGAATGCACAGCCTCAAACACACCGTATCCAGAAAGTTCTGAGCTTGCTTGCCAAAATAGCATCTTCTACATCACAGCTCTGTTCCCATCTGTACATTTCTTCTAATCTGTCCTCATTGTTTCTCTTGATTGAGAGCCCTTCTGGACAGGCTTGTTGCTCTGGATGGAACTTGTACTGCAGCAGAGCTCAGTAACCTTGCGGCTGCTACACAGATGAGAAAATACACCGGCAAATAGGCCTTTTATTAAAGGGGGCTAAGTAATCCAGGCTCTGAGCTGTGAACCAAAAAAATTGGCTGACTTTCACATTTTCCTAATTTATAGGAATAATTTTCTCTCATTAAAGCACCCACTCAGAGGAAAAACCTGGAAAGGACTTAAAGGCACTGTCCATTGCACAACCTAAAAGTAGAAGCATGGAGACTACTTTGTGTTCTGTTAGCTACCCCAGGTGTTGCAGTCGCATGCCATTTTTTTGTGGAAGTGTACATTTGTTTCAAGTGCTTCTTTTGAGAGGTGAAGCAGCGTGTGTTAGCAGACTGCATGCCATTATGGGGGTGTGCGTTCCTCTCATTTCTAACTGTTTTTGTCTGTTACAGTTTCACAAGCAAACTTTGAGCTCCACAGTGATGCCGCACCCAGCTAGTGCACCATTTGGCCATAAGAGAATGAAGCTGGCAGGGCCTCAGGCATTTGACAAAAATGATATCAACTCCTTGCAGTCAAACGAAGGGCTTCTGGAAAAGATTATTAAGCAGGCAAAACACATCTTTCTGAGGCGCAGGTATGTGTACAAGCCACTCTGGTTAAAGCCAAGGTAAAACCAAACTACTAGCATCTTCCCCCCTAGGCTGGTGATTAACTTTCAAAGTGTTTCTAAACCTTCTTATTCTTCATTGCTGAATGCTTTTGTAAGACTTCATTGTTAGGTATTGAGAATCAGTAGTTTATTATCTTCAAGTCTGTATAAAAACCTCTATGGAATATGAGCACAAGAGTGTTCAGCACTTACTTCTCTTTTTATGCAATGCTTATATTGCAGCCTACTGATAGATTTATGTACCGCTTTGGGAAAAGATGACTTTCCCAGGGGTTTTTTCCCTCCATATACAGCTGAACAACTAATATCTGACTTGTTCAAAATACAGTATTCAGCACATTCTATTTTGGGGGCATGTTATAAAAATACAGTGTAAACAACTTGCTGTTCTGGCACCAAAACAGAGCATTAATACCCTTGCTCAGGTGTCCTGCATGGTTTTTTTACAACATAGATGTTATCTTTCACAGCCAACTAGATCAAACGGAGGCTTGCTTACTTCCCCTCTGCCCTTGGAGAAAGGACAATCGTGCATATTGTCTATTGAGGGTGGTATGTCTTTGTTTTGTTTTAGAACTGCTCAAACCATTGATAGCCTTGCTAGTTGCATTGAAGATCCACAGATTCAGGCCCATTGGTCCAACATAAATGATGTTTATGAATCCAGTGTTAAGGTTTTAATAACTTCTCAAGGTTATGAGCAAATATGCAAGTAAGTATGAAAGCTCTGCAGATGTGGATTATTAATTTGTTAAGAATGAGAAAATGTCTTGCCTTTCCTAGATTGTGATACATGTGACTTTAAAGAAGCAACGTTAATCTCTGTTCAGATTTGTTTTAGGAAGGCTGCCCCCCCCCCCCCAGTTACCTCCTTCCTATAGCTAAAAGTTACATTTAATATAGGAATTTAATAAATAGATACTACATTTTCTTAAAATAAGTGATCATAATAGAGTCTCTTTCTCTTCCCCCCCCCCCAGGAGTCAAATCTTGAACCTGATTACCTGAGTTCAGCTTTTCTCATCATGAAAATCAGAGCTCCCCCTGCCCCCTTAGCTCACCAGGACAAGGATCCAGCAGCAGCTGTCCCCCCTGCACTACTTTGTGGTGCTGAGCAACCCTGATATGCTGCTGCCTTGTCCATGCCATTGCCCCTCTTCCACCTCTCCCCCCAGTCCACTGGCCCTGCTGGTGCCCCTCACTCCCCAACCGCAGCACCCTGGACCTGCCAATGCCCCTCACTCTGCACCCACAGCCTCCCCACCCCTTCCAGTGCCCTTTGCTCCCAGCCCCCTGTCCCTGCCTGTGGCTCTCACTTCCCACCCCTACCAATGATGGCCCTCACTCCCCAACCACAGCTCCCTCCCGGCTCTGCTGGTGCCCTTCTCCCCCCCGACCCACCCCCAGTCCTGTCAGAGGGGGCCCTCAGCTGCCAGGGCTACAGGGTCAGGGACCCAAGTCCACAGCCCCCTGCTTACATCAGTACTCGAGTCCTGGATGCCACATATGGGAGACAGTGACTGCTGTGGCATAGCAGAGCACAGAGCCCGGCTTCCCTTCCACCATGGGTGGCATGACCAGAGTGGAGCCCATAGGGGTTTGGGGGCAGATGCAGGCTGCCTGCTGTAGGCTTGGCCTCCCCACCCTGCTGCCCTCCCCACAAGACCTCCACAGCCTAGTGGCTGAGACCTGGCATGGCAAGGCACAGCGGGGCCAAGTAAGGAAATTCAGTGCTGTTGCCACGAGTCCTGCACCACCATGGCAAGGCACCCCCTGCCTGCCTAGCAGCACTGATGGATACAACTCCATGCTGCCACCCCCACTTCTGCCAGTAGGCAGGGGGTTCCTCACCATGGTGGTGCGGGGCTCGTGGTGAAAACACTGAGCTTCCCTACCCCACCCCGCTCTGCCCTCCGTGCTGGGTCTTGCCTACTGGGCCATGGAGTCTCTGCACACAGGCTCACACCAAAATACTGGAGGTGTGATAATAGTCATGTTCGTTACTTTAGTTATTTCGATCCTGACTTCCTTTTAGAGAAGCTGTTAGTTCTTTTACTACCTTGGATGACCCAGAAGTTGCTGGGATCACAAATGAGCCCAGTTCCTTTGTATTATCTTTACTTGCTGCTAGGTCCAGTTTTGTGAAAAAATGTAAAACTGCAGTTTTGAGGATTTTGTGCTTTAGTATCACTTAAGGAATAGGAATTTAAAAAAAAGTCCTTATTTATAGCAATGGGACTGATATAGACTCAAGTAGACATGCATGGTTTTGTATCACCAGTAGATGTGGTGATTGTAGACCAGCGGATATTGGGTTAATCAAAATATTTAAAAACAAGTAGAACTTACATAATATTTAAAGACTCCTGCTTTTGTTAGTCATTTAGAAAACAGCTGTTTCCCCTTTCTGTCCTAGTCAGTAATAGAGTCTGTTGAGGTGTGAGCTTCCTACAGGATTATTCTTAGTAAGTTTAAGGTACTTCAATCTTAAACCTTTTAAAATGGATGTCTTCTGCCAACTTTTAGACAGTTTTAGTAAATATACATGTATTTTTGTCCTTGTAAAGGTCTATTCAGCTACAGCTGAACATTGGAGTTGAACAGATCCGAGTAGTGCACAGAGATGGAAGAGTTATCACATTATCCCACCAAGAGCAAGAGCTGCAGGATTTCCTTCTGTCTCAGGTAAACTTAAAAACTAGAAAAGGAATAACATGGACCTCATATAGATCTGTATAAACAATGTAATAGTATGCATATTGCCATATGTCTCTAGGATAAATTGTAGCAAGTCCATGAGCACAGTTGGGGCAGAAGTATCATTTAAAGGTGTCAAAGATGGAAGGTTTTAGAAATTCTGCATAGAGTACATAGTTGGTCTAATAAAAGATATCACATCTGCTCAAAGAACCATACATGCATAGAATGGAAAACTTTAGAAGAAGATTTATATTCCAGGCTTCTCATGGTTGATTACATTCTTCAAGAAACACCTGTATGTCAGCTGTGGCAACTGATTCCAAAAATGGCGTCACACTGTAGCCAGGTTCAGAAGTACCAGTGGCACACACAAAAATTTGAAATATACTTAGTTGCAAAGTATGTGTTACCTACCATGTGAACTGTCAGTAAGCTGTGCTTGCTAGAAGCCTCACACTAAACAACTGACATAGTTCTCACCTTGTCTGCTAAGGTAACCATATCTTGTTAGGGTCAGAGAATCTTTATAGTTCACATGCCTATAACTGCTGTCACTTTCAACGTTGACACAGGGTTTCCAGCTTTGTATCTGATATTACCCAATAATTGGCATTTGAATTAAGTATGGGTTCTGAACTGTTTAGAACGAGGCTTGGTTTTGTTTCAGCAGCAGCAGTGTTTCTAGTAGTGCATTCTACGTAGCATAGATGCAGGCATTTGATCAGCAGAGTATTCTGAATTAGGTGTGCCTGATTTGAATTATGTGGAACTCTGACAGGGAGTTAAAATTAATTTTATCAAAGCTGTTGCTTTCCCTAGTCAGATAGTTTACAAACTCCTCCCTGGAGAGCTGGCTGGCTGTCTAGCACTAATACCTCCTTGCTTCCAACTGTTAAATCGCTCCATTGAAAAGGATTTTAACTCTTCCAAGCAATTGCCCTACTTTCCATTGGGATGCAAGTCCCAAGTAGAAAGTGTGATGATCTCTGCATTGTGCCAAAGCCCAACTTGTGTCTTTCCAAATTTGCCCTGAAATATTGTTTCCTATTGCTTATTCTGGAGCCCTTTCTGCAATTGTTTTATAGAAGAAATTGTCTCTCTAATAATTAATTTTAGTCTCTCCTTAATTGGATGTGCAATCTTACAATTAAAGTTTTAGTGATTCTAGAGATCTGTGCTAATTGATCTTTAAAAACTCACAAACCCATGTATTGTAAAAGATTCATACATCTGTTCAGCTCTCTGTTCACAAATGAGCTAGTATAGACTTGGACAGAAACAAATTTCTAGTTGGTATCTCATGAATTTTGGTATGATTAAGTCTCAAACTGGGGTGTGCATATAGTGGGGGGAAAAAGCATTTAAATAACCTAATATAGACCAGGAAAAAGAAATGGAAGCTAGGGAAAACTAAACATATGAAATCCATTGCAAGGCACAAAGGAAAAACACCATAAACCTCTGTCTTCTTTTAGATGTCCCAGCATCAAGTCCATGCAGTTCAGCAGCTCGCTAAAGTTATGGGATGGCACGTTCTGAGTTTCAGTAATCATGTGGGCCTGGGGCCAGTGGAGAGCATTGGCAATGCATCGGCAATCACCGTGGCATCACCAAATGGAGACTACGCTATTTCAGGTAGTACTTCATTTGATTGTGATCATAAAATGTATTTGAGAGTATGATTCTAAAAGCAAACAGCTAGAAAACCTATCTCAAGATATTAAGACTTCAGTATAGTAAAATATTTTCTGAACAAGCTTTCCCTTCCAGTCCTCCACTCTACCCACCACAACCTTTTAAATGTACAATTGATGCAAGTACTTATTCTTCTAAGGGTGCTTCTCAGACCACTGTTTTATACTCAGGTTATTGACTTAAAAGGTTTTAAGAAATGGCTTCAAACTAGTTGTTTAATACACACAAGAGAAATAGTTAAATATTTAATGTGTTTCATGGTAGGTAATGCAAATAAAGTTACTTGCATTCTGCACAGAGTGAGGTTGGAGAGACAGTTGCTCTGGGTTCAGAACTAGAGTTCATGTCCCTTTGTCTTGTGTTCTGACCACAATCGTGTGGTTTCTGAAGTGGAGATAATGTTGCAGTACACGTTTTTCACCCGGTTAAATCAATTTGACTGCTCCTTTTAGAAGCAGAGACTCCCATAGTACTTTAAAGCAGTGGCAGCAGCCCTTTTTTGGCAGGTATGCTACGAATTGAGCCACTCCAGTCCCCTTCCCCTGCTTGATCCGCTGCTCTGCTTTTTGCTTCCTGTCCTATCTGCTGCTGTGCTGCCTTTTCCCCTCCCCAAGCTTATGCGTACCCCCCACACAGCTGCCTGTGGCACTTGTGGCAGACATGCTGCAGGTTGGCCACCCCTACTTTGAAGAATTGCGGAGATCTCTGATAACAGATCTGACAGATCTGTTGGGAAACCTCCTAATTCTCTCTCTAAGAGATTGAAATATCTGCTGCAAAAGAAGCCTTCTGTAAACTCTTTTTCTTGAGGGAGCATATTGAAGGTGCATAAACACATTAAAATGCAATAAGAATCAGTAATGAAATACTAAGTCTCATTAAGAACTACATTAGCCTGTTTTAATTTTCTTAATTGCAGTCAGTAAATGCTGGCTTGCCCTGACCAGGAAAACAGTGTTAAAGAGCGACAAGTATATGGAGGGAGAATTAGAGCAAGCCAGAAGGAAACGCTTTTGATGGAGTAGCTGTGTTTATGAATTTCTCTTGTTTAATTAGTGGTTTTCATGGCTTAGGGCAGAGCTTCCTAACCTTTTCCTCAGTTTTGACCCCATGTAAACATTGAAAATTTTTTGCAACCTCTAAATAATCCAGCTTGATCAGTGACCCCTCCCCCCATGGGCTGGAGCAGAGCCCATGGCGGGGGGTGGAGATGTGGGCTGTGGCCTCAGGGCTCCCTGCCCTGCTGTTCTCCCCCCGGGGGCCTCTACAGCTCAGCAGGCAGGACCCAGCACAGGAGGGCAAAGCAGGATGGGGAGGCTCGGTGCCACTGCCAGGAGCCCCATTATGGCTACACTGCCATGGCAAAGCTCCCAGCCCTGCCCCACTCCTTCCCTCCCTCACGAGGACCTCAATCTGCCCCCCACCATATACTTACCTAGAGGGAACTGCAGGAGCTGCTCTCCAAGCTGCCTGGCTGCTACATGTATCTCTGCATGTGTACGTGCACATGGCACCCCTTGCCTGGTCACCTTCCTCCCACTCCCCAGACCTGCAAGGGGAGCATGTCATTTCCTGCTTTTTCATGTGATTTTCATCAGAATCAGTCAACACTGTTGAGTGCCTTTGCGACCCCATTTCCTATTATTACAACCCCAAATGGGGTCATGACCCCAAGGTTAGGAACCACTGGCGTAGGGGGACATGTAACCTGGTGTTTGAGGCTATATCTAATGAGGGACAGGAAAAACTCTTCAAGCTTTTTTTTTTGTCTTTCTTTTTTGTCCACTGCAGTGCGTAATGGTCCTGAAAGTGGCAGCAAGGTTCTGGTTGAGCTCCCACGGTCTCAATGCAAGGATCTCCCCAAAAGTGACGTGTTGCAAGATGGCAAATGGAACCATCTCCGCGGGCCGTTCAAGGAAGTCCAGTGGAACAAAATGGAAGGGCGCAACTTTGTATATAAAATGGAGCTCCTCATGGCAGCCCTAACCCCCTGCTATTAGTCCAGCATTGCACTGAGGAGGACTTCGGCTTCCTCTAGTAATAGTGAGCTGCTACAAGTGCAGCAAAGAGACACTGATCCTGGACAGTACTACACAAAGTGTTCAGGCTTGCAGGTCTGTACAGACACATCTATTACGATGTCTAAGGCACAAATGTTCTTGCTAGGTGAACTGTGATTTTTTTATTTAAAAAAAAACAAAAAAAAAACTTTCTTTCAATTAAAACAGGAAACACCATTTTTTCCTAGCTGTTTTGTCCTTCGTTTTCTTATATCAGAGTACGGTTTTGTCAACTGCAGATTCCTAAAAATCCAGCTTTGGGACTATGTGCAGGAACTGAGAGATCCTCTGAGTATTCATGAGATTACATTTCTGAAGCGCTTGCCCTAAATGAACAATGAAGATAGCAGTACAGCTGTCTAGGAATATTTTTACTGTGCTTCAGGTGGAGTTGGCTTTGACAGACTTCCTTTATAAAATTAAATTCAGCAGGCAGTTTATTGCTTCAAGGAAGACAGCTCATCAAGAGTGATTAAATGATATTTGCAATTATCTTGGCAGACCTCCTGAAGGCAAATTGTTTACCTGAAGCATGTAAGGGAGCAGGCCTGATACTCATAGCATGTCAAGTGGCTTGCCACTGTAGCAGCTAGTGGATCTGTTTTGGATGGAAATGGGACCAGGAGGGAGACAGAGAGCCCACACTGAATGATTAAAGCCACCAAACATTCGTGATTCAGGCCATCCTTCTGCAGCAAGTCCCTGACTTGAACCGTGCCCTTGTGTGCACCTGTGTGTGCCCTCTAGTTCTCTTTTCCTCTTATGTCCTTTCCATTTATGTCTTGAGATGCAATTTCTCCACACCAAAGGCCTAGAAGTGAATTTGGAAATGCATGCGGACAGTTCTCCTCTGCAATATGAAGTTTCATTTCTTCCTGGGAGAAATTTTACAATCTTTGCATTCTCCTTTGCCTGAGGAAGGGCACAAGCCCAAAAGTTTACAAATAAAGACCTTTTTTTGTAACTAGTTGGTCTAATAAAATATATCACCTCTATCGCAAGAGTTCTGACTGCTTTTGCCTTTAGATCAACATGGGTACAACCTATATCCCTGCAGATAATAATGCTCTTTAATGCATATTTGGTGGCAAATCTACCAATAGTAAGCGTGAATTAGGTTAGTGGGGGCAAACCTCTTTTGGCAGGCGGGCTGCAAATTAGTTCAGCATCTCAAGGTGCCATTCTGATCCCTTTCCCTTACCTGATCTGCCATTCTGCTTTCTGCTCTCTGACCAAGCTGCTGCTGCTCTTTTTCCTTCCTGTCCTGTATTCCCTGCCTGATCTGATGTTCTGGGTTTCTGCTCCCTGCTCTATCTGCTGCTGTTCTGCCTTTCCCCACCCCATTCTTCTGCATGCCACACACACAGGCTGCCCATGCCACTTGTGGTACCTGTCTACAGGTTGGCCACTATTGTTGCATAGACCTACTTGAGTTCAAGTCAACTGGCCCTTTGTTACCTTTGTTTTTTCCTGCTCTATTTTTGTGTAGTATCTGAATGAGGTTCAGGCCAAGGGGTTTTCTATATTTGCCTCTGAGCCTGGATTGAGAAGGTCCCTGTTGTACATGAATTCATGTACAAACCTTGCATGTAAATCCTCATTAAGCTGGAATGGAGCTGTCCTGATGTACCCCTCTCATAAGTAAACAGCTGATGCCATTCTTGTCCCTTCTGCATTGATGTCTCCCAGGCCAAATGCAATGTTTGCATAAACAACAGCTTTTTTAGCACGGAGTGTTTTATGTTCTAGGAAAGCTGAACAAGGAGGAATTGGAGGGAGTTTTAAGACCATCCATAGGGCAGAGTGCAAAACTGCTCTCCTGCTTGAGGGTGAATTGCTAGTGATCTGTTTTAGGTTATGTCGCTATGTAAGTTTTAGACTCATGCATACTGGACAGCCTTGGTGTACAGCTGGTGGCCCGCAAGTGGTTACATGCAGCCCCCTGCCACTGCCCCTGTCGCCTTGGTCTTGGGGTTCCCTGTCCTTCCCCTGGCTTCTGCCTGACTCAGCCCCATGGGCCAAGGCAGTGCAGTGCAGGCTGCAGTGCTGGTAAGCCGGCATCTCAAACCACTGTGGTGTAGTGCCATGGAGTGGGGCCCACAGGGAGCTCCAGATGAGGTGCCAGGCTGTGTGGTGGGCAGGGTGGGGGAGCACCCAGCCTTGTGCAGGATGGATGAGTTCCTTCTCTTGTGCACTGCAATAGTAGGGGGGGGCACCCACCCATGTGTGTGGAGCACAGCTTGTTGGGGGGGGGAATCTGTGGCCCCTACTAATATGGCCCCTGCTGGTGCAGCTCACCGGCTGCTTGGAAGTTAGATAGGCCTGACTGTACAGAGGTAAATGGGTCCCTATTTGATTGTATAGCAACCATGAGGGTCAAGAGGAGAACATAGTAACTGATAGCTGTAGCAATTATCTATTGGGCAATTCATTCTGGGACATGGTCTGATGTGCCTGCCCTCGGCAGTTATTGCAATGATAATTACCATTAAGGACCATAAAGTTATTGCTACATGTTGAAGCTGTAGTTTCTGTACAACTGATCTGTGAGATTTGAAAATGACTCCTGTCACCTGCCCATGGCAGGGTGTATTTTTACATGCCCTGTGGAGTAAATGGGGTGGAAATGTCTATTGACAACAGTTTATGGGGCTTTTACTGCAAGATGGGTAAATGGGTAGGACTTAATATGCTTTATAATGAGTAGTTACTGTCAGATTCCAGTTAGAGAAAGGATGATGAACAAATGGGGAAACCGAGACAAAGGGCTTAGCAGTCTGTCGGAGACATGATTACAGTGAGTCCTAACCCCCAGGCCTGTATTCATACTACTGTCATATTTGTCATGCACGTGAGAGTGTGAAGTAAAAGTAGTAGAGCTTACACTGTGCAGCAAACTGAAAAGATGGGACTTGCTTTGGCATTTAAACTGGTGTTGGGACTATCGCTACTTCAGACATGTAGCAGGCTTCCCCTCCCTTTGTGTCACAGATCGAGGTCATAGTGCAGCTGTGAAGTTGCTAGGTTTTGTCATTTTCTGCATTTTCCTAAAGAAAGTAAATGCATGTGGCATGTTGCTCTGTTTGCAAGTGGTGCAGAAAGGCTTTGCATGGGTGATGCTGGCCAAGGATTAGGCCCTTAAAGAGCCTGACTTTTAAAAATGCTGAGTACTTCACAGCTCCCACTGGAAATTCCTAGGGGCTCAGTACTCAAGAAAATCTGGCCAATCATTTTGGCTCCTAATTTTAGACATTCAAATTTGCTAGTTGGAGCAGTCTTCACCTTCTTTCTATAGGCAAACATTATAATAACAATACATTTCCAAATGTTTAGTGCACTTGAAATCAGAAAAAACATACTGTTATCCTAGGTCAGGGGCTGACAGTGTTTCCTGGTAGCAAGCTGGAAGACTTGCTACCAGGAAACATTAGGTAGCAAGCAGGTCTGAGATTTACTTGCTGCCTGGCAGGGGCACAGCCTGGGCAAAGCCATGGCTCCACAGGCCAGATCTAAAGGCTCTGCAGACTGGGGACCCCTGACCCAGACTGTTTGGAAATAGTTGCATTAAATCTTCCAATTACTATGCAGGGACAGCTATGTTAGTACATCACTTTTTCCAGTTGCTGGTCCTCAGTCCTCAATTATTAACTGTAAAGACTTTAATCCTTGTGCCAGTAACTGGTGAGCATTAACTCCAGATGGTTTAGCTCTGCATTCCTTACACCTAGCAGCAGTAGTACATTTTGAAAGATATTTGATTTATTTTGCATAGGATATGTATTTTTTACTTTGTCAGGTTAAATTTTAGATGAAACAGGACTCTTGTCTATAACAGAATAGTAAAAGCAATACCATTACAATAATGCCTAGTGCATGTATTCATTAAATATGCTTGTATCATTCGATACCTGACCATAGCAGTACTCCAATGCATTAAAAAACTGAAAGTGAACTTAGCTGGCACCTGTATGTGAAATTGAACAGTCAAGGGTTAGAGGCCCTAAATCAATGTTTCAGTAAGCAAGCAGAGCAAGGGAGACAAAATAACCAACATAAAACGGAGTTGGTTTGTTTTGTTTTGTTGTTAATGCATTTTTAAGAGTCTATGATAACAATTTTTTTAATTGTTTTTTAAATACTATGCTAAAATTGTCAAGAGGAAGTAAGTCAAAGATAGTGATGCCAAATGACATCGTTACTGCATCGCTATGGACTTGCACACTTGCTAATTATTAACTTTCATCCTGTAATGGTCAACAGAAAAAATGTTGATAGGAAAATGCACATTCCCTGTATAATTATGTCAGCTTTCTTTCTTTCTTTTTTGTCTACTTATGTTTAGTATACACACTGTGTGTACTTGCTGTGCCTTAGTGACGGGTTTAACATGTAAAGCTTAAATCTCTTCAAGAATGACAAAAAATAGCCATCAAGAATGTATGCAGAGCAAAGCCTGCGGGCTGAGCTGAGTTCCTTTTTGTCATCAATATTGCCCTGTTATGGTGCTTCCTGAAGCACTTAGAGTATGCTATAAAGATATACAAGTGTAATAAAACAGCCCAAACTTCAGTCCCTTTATATACTCATTAAGTTTCAGTCATTTTTCAGTCTATAATCAATTTTCTTCAAGAAAGGAAGAACTTAACTAAGATGCTCCTTTTCTGGGGTGTAACTACAGAGCTATGATAGATACATATGCCACATCTCTGAATACTCAGCCCATCAGTGTGATCTACTGTTGCAGATATCTGGGATGTAATGTACATACTTAATGCAATATCATTAGCAAGGTGGTGAAAAATAGGACTAAAAAGAATCTCAGGAGGTCAGTTAATCTACTGCCCTACTCAGCAGGATCATTGTTGACTAAATCAGTGGGAGCCAACTGGTTTTGGCAGACATAGCCCCACACCCTTCCTGGGGCCACTCCAATCCCCTTTCCCTCCCTTGTCTGCTGCTCTGCTTTCTGCCACTGTGCCACCTGTCCCCTTCCCAATCTGCTGCATGCCACACACACAAGCTATGCGCCCCATTTAGGACACACATACGCAGGTTGGCCACTGCTGATCTTAGCTGTCCCAGCCAAGTGTTTGCTAACTCATTTGTAAAACTTTCCAAGGATGGAGATTACACTCTGAAAAACTTGTTCCAATACTTTAACCATACCCTCATAGCGAGAGTCTCCAACCTAAATTGCTTTTGTTACAATTTAAGACCACTGTTCCTTGTCCACTCTCTTGCAGCCATCACTAATCTCTTATATAACCACCCTTCGGGCATTTGAAGACTGTTATCAGATCCTCACCCTCCCCATCCAGTCTCCTCTTTTCCATACTAACCTTAGTGCTTCCAACCTTTCCTCATAAATCACACTGCTGAGACCCCTATAATCTCTGTTGCTCTCTGCTGGGCTCTTTCTAATCAAAACTAGACACAATATTCCAGCAAAGGCCTCACCAGTGCTGAATACAGGGGAAGACTCACTTTTGTTATACATCCCAGTGTGTGCTACTGGAACAGCTGAAACAATAACAGCCCACCCTTGACTCAACGCTATGACTCCCGGGCTGTTTTCTGAAGTACTGCTGCCCAACCAGTTCCCACATTTTTGTGCTTCTGATTGTTGCATTCTAGGGGCAGGACTTTGCAGTTGTCTTTATTGGATTTCATCTAATCTGGAACCGTTCCTTTAATTTATCAAGGTTATTTTGGGTTCTAGTCTTGTCCTCTAAAGTATCTGCTACTCCACATATTTTGGTGTCATCTGCTAATATATCAAGTGTGCACTCAATCCCATCTGCCAGATCAGCATCCTTCAGGTGTCCCCCAGAGAGAGTCAGCTGCCTGTGTTAACCTGAAGTGAGGCAGAAGGCAGGGCAGGATGCTACCTTAGATGCTTCTGAGGGGCATGAGCTTTAGCAGGCAACAACCTACTTCATCAAATACGAATGTAGTCCTCTCAAGTACAGCTCATTATGAATGCAGGTGCAGAGAGCAGGGGTTTGAAAGAGAAGGATATTTAAATACAAAGGATAAGGGACCAGGGGAACTGCTGAGAGGTGTAGGTGGATTGGATAGGTGAATAGGGATAAGTAAGGCAGTTAACTCAGTGAAGAACATAGGGCTTAAAAAAGGAGTTGCTCTTGAGCCCATGTTTAACACAGTGCAGTCTGGATGATTTCTTGTTCTGTAATGTCATGTTAGGAATGGACAGCCACCCCCCCCCCGCTGGCACCCTCCTCCCCAGTGCCACTTGCCACATCCTCCCAGTTAAATGGAGCTGTTACTATTCTTTGAACACAGGGATCCAAGCAGTGATTTTCACCCCCTTGTTCACACACTGGTGAACAAAGGGTAGGCTCTCCAGCAGTTAGCTGCCTGCAGCTCCCCAAAATTCAGCAGAACAGTAAGAGAGGCTCCTGTCTCTCCCTGTCTACCATAGACCAGAGCTTAGGTGCCTGTCTTTACTTCTTCTGTATACCAGGCCCTTGGCACCTCAGTTCCCCACTGGAGTATTATAATAGTACCCTTCTGTGTCACCTGGGCATTTTGAGAATAAATACATTAAAGTCCATGAGGTAAGTTGACTTGGATAGGATTTAGGAATCTCACTCTTTGAAGCCTTGGATAGTAGGCATTTGTCTGTCTTGCAAGAGGAGGATTACACTGAGTGAGACATCAGCCTCACTTAAAAATAAAGTGAAGCTGGAGTGACCTCTCCAGCACACAAAAGCCTAGACAGTGGATATGGGGAGACAGCCATTTTGGATGTTTCCACACACTTGGTGAGACAGCCTTGGATAATGGAGTAAGAAAGGCTATATTAAGTACCAAAAACACAGCACTTCCCAGCTGCCCGCTGCTTTTAATTTTCAAGGTTAATTTCACACTGTGAAATTCTCTTCATAGAAAAGCAAAACAAGGTAGAGCTTGGTGCAATTAGACTTACATCAAGTGAACAAACTTTCATGCTCTCTGTTTCACAAAAGCAAGGGTCACTTCTTTGGGAAGCCCCTGCAGATAGTACTCGCAAGTGCAGTGCACAGCCCAAGAAGGCTAATAGTTAGTAGGGCTGCATGAAATTTTGCCCACCGTTTCGTTCTGACACTGTTTCAACCAATTTCAAGGTCAAAACAGCAAAATTTAAATGAAACAAAGGCCATTGAAATATCCTCGAAACCAAACGAGGCTAGTCGAAACAATTCGACCATAGGCTGGGGATGGGAGGTCAGGCAAGCTGAGCTGACTTCCCATCCCCCACACTAGATTGTGCCAGGGCCAGGAGGCAGCCCAGCTGGGCTGCTTCCTGGGGCCCCATGCTATATCACACTGGGGGCGGAGCCAGCCCAGCTGGGCTGCTTCCGGGGCCCCGCACTAGATTGCGTAGTTGGGCTGCCTCCTGCCCCCGATGCAATCTAGTGTGGGGCCCCGGCAAGTGGGGCAGTTGGGGTGCCTCCTGCCCCCAGCGCAATGTAACACAGGGCCCCGGGAAGCAGCCCAGCTGGGCTGCCCCCTGCCCTTGGCACGATCTAGCATGGGGGACAGGGAAGCAGCCCAACTGGGCTGCCTCCACCCCGGGCACAGTGTAACACTGAGAATGGGAAGTCAGCCCAGCTGGTCTGACCCCATCCCCAGCAAAATTTGAAACAGTGTCAAAACAGCCTTTCTGTTTCGACAGAATGGAATGGAACAGCTGTTTCAACTTGAAATTAAATTCGAGATGAAACACTATTCCGTCGAAACACAAGGCGAAACGGAACAGTGCCATTCCGCACAGCCCTACAGTTAGCTCTCCTAGCATTTTCTTACAACATACAGAAGTGAAGGCAGACACAGTTCTTTGGTTAAATAATATATGATATCTTTTTATTAGACCAACTAAATAGTTGGAAAAAAGTTCTTTGCAAATTTCTGGGCACAAACACCCTTCCTTAAGCATTGGGAGACTGTTGCTGTTCTGCATTCTCCAAGGTGGAAAAGAAACTATGGTAAAGGAGAAGTCTGTGAAATGCAAATGCATGGAAATTTGGAAGACAAAGGGTAGAGACAGGAGGGGAGGGAGGAAGGGGGGGGGAAATATGTGAAGGAATGCAAGTAGTGAATGTGTTTTCTCTTGCTGAAAATTATTTCAAAGCCGTTATCTTCACTTTAAAAGTAATTAACTCTTTCTTCTGAGGCAGACTCAATCATTCCATGGTCTGTCTCAGAAATGCATAGGGCTCAGTGCTTTTAAGCACCAAGTAATTTTTTCCACCTCACCAGCAACCTGGTATTTTATCTACCAATAATTGTTTCCGTCCTCTACTTCTGCATTGTTCCTTGCTTACCACCCTTCCATAAGAATATACGGTCTGTGTTTAGCTTCTTGGAACAATGTGAACAACCATAAAGACACCGAATGATGGCACTCGATGTCTCAGCCACTTTTGCTGACATTGGATTACAATTTGTCTTCAGAGGATCCAACAAACTCTTTTGCCTGAGGGTCAGGAGCATAATATGCAGCACTGTACTTTGTTCCTTGAAACCTGTTATTAAATTAATGCTATAATAAATTAATGTATAATTAGCATGGCCAAGAATGCAGATCTCTTCTGTTGCTTTTTGTAATGAGTGATGCTTGCTTTAGCTGAAATGCTCATTAGCAAAATGTAAATAGCTTTAAAGACCTTAATCATGGCCTTTTAATGTTCCCCAATACAATGTAGCTGAGGTATTGTGGGCACTTTAAAAACAAAGGTGCTAAAGGCAGTAGGTTTTATTACATGGGCCCAGAGTACAGTAGTCTTCATGCTAAACAGCTAAATCATTCTGTCTGCTTGGAGCTTACCCAGTGCCAACTCTGGAAGTGAGACCTTTGCAGCTCCAAGATGCTCCAGATGTGCAGCTCTTATTTCATCTCCATTTAGCAACCACCTTTATTTGCAAGTCAGGAAGCTGCTGTAGCTGGCGGGAACATGCACAAACTTTACCTTTTGGGATTTTTCTTCCCTTCTTCTGCCACTGTTTTCACTTGAGGTAGAATTGTTTTGTTTTTGTTATAAAACAAGTCCTGGCTAAAACTCAATGGCTTCCAGTTCAATTTCTTCAGTTCTTTCTGCAAATAAAAGGACAGTGTTATTGATCCAGAAAAAAATCGATTAGAACATCCCAAAATTAACAACTCAGCTGATGTTAATAGCAGAAGCCTTTAGTGTCCTTCAATATTAGTGCAAAATCATATGATTATGATAGAACTGTACCTTTAAAATATAACGAGTCTATGTTTTTTAGTTAGCCTCATACAGTGCCACTGTCAATTCTTAAAAATGTAAGTAATATCGGTTCCTTCAAAGAGGAGACTAAATGAGACACCATTCTCTGTTGTGACTGGAATGATTTGGTTCAAGTCCAAGGCTGCTCAACAGGCCTGCTCTCTACCTCCAAGTGCTCAGAGCTCTGGCTAATGCAATGTCAGCTGTAGCTGACTTCTGAAAGCTCATCAATATTGCTTGTTTCTCTGAAACAACTCCTGAATTATTCCTGAGGGACTTGCAATCAAAGCATTAGTAAATCATGTTTTGGAGTGCTTTAACATCAGTGCTTTGATGGGATATGGAGGAATTGGTGAGCTCTGATCTTTGGTTAGCTGCTACAACAAATCCTGTTGGTCTGTCTTCTGCATCTATGCACAAAGGGCATCTATCATATATTGTATCCCAGCCCCTCAGGCACTGATCAGCAAATCATTTAGGTTAAGACTGGGCAACTGATCTCCCCACCCACACCCCCACAAAGCCTTTTATTCTGGGATCCTACAGATGGACAAATCCATTCTCCCACCATCAGTAATGAGATTTTTCCCCAGGACAATAGGGGCTAATTGGAGTTAACTGTTATTCAAGCTGCATGTGTAAATGACTGTCCCAGCCCTGCTTTGTTTGGAGTCAATATCCAGACAAATCCATCATCTGTTTTTTGCCTTCCTTAAAGCAGTACAGTGAGTGTTAGGGGCTCTTAAAGCAAGGGTTTTCAGCTGCTACAGAATCTCACGGACATATTTGTTGTGTGGGCTGTGGAAACCTCTTACCCAAGTCTTGGAAGTAAAGCATAGAAAATAAATAATTAGCCAAAGATTCTTTAGCATTAATCGACTTTAGCAGACTTAAAAAGTGGCTGGGTTATGATACTTGAGATACTTACACTGTCTTCACCTGTCTTGTTAAAGGCTTGTCACTGAAGCATTTGTCCTCAGAAGGAAGGGGACAGAGGTGTGGGAAGAAACTTTCTTCTGGAGGAAAAACCTACTTCATAGTAGTAGTAGCTACTTGCTGTAGCTAGAGCTGATAGCAAAGAACACTAGCTTGTTACTCTATGAGTTTCACCTGAAAAGCTCTCTACCAGTGCAGGTGTATTCCCTTCAGCAAGCAGGCAAGCACCCCCTGCTCTTTTTTTCAGTCTACCAGTAGGAATTATCACCTTTCCTTAACCTCTATTAAAGGTCTGATATTGAGGATCAGTGATTCTTATTAACATCGGTGGGAGGCATCACTGCTGAATGTGGGATCTTACGATAACTGAACAAACGGTCAACATTTTGATAAGACAACATCCTATCAGGGTTATTTACCCCCAGAGATAGTTACCTTCTAGCTTGCGCCTCTGCTTCTGGTATAGATGCACCGACTTATTACAAAGCCACATGAAGCAGACTAAAATGGCAGACACAGCAGTAAGAAACGCAAAGAAGACAGCTACAAAATGTAAATCTTCATAGATAATCTCTAAGGGGGGAAAAATGTAACATCATGAAGACGATCATGGGCACCTTTACATTTCACTGGTAGAATAAAAGAATTCCTGAATCATTCATACCATAAACATTTAATATGATGGTGCCATAAATGTTGGTTCCCAACTCTTCTGTTACAGTGACAAAGTAGTAACCGGCATCTCTCACACCCACATTCAGAAGCTGTATTGAGCCATTGTCATAAACAGTCACTCTGTCCATGTAACTTTTGGATATGTTGGTATAAATCCCAGTTCTCCACTCAACAATTTTTGTGGTGCCCCAACTAGACACATGCTTCCATTCAATGGTGGCAACGCCTTTGTAAAAATACTCAACTGAAAGGAGGATGTTTTGGGCCACAGTTGCGTTTATGTTGGGTTGCGGGACATATAGCGATGCTCCTCCCCGAGCTGAAAAACATACGGTTTGGGTGATGAATAATGATGCAACATCATGGCAAATATAATAGACAATGATGGCAGTCATACATTACAGTAATCAGCATGAAATAATGGCTGACAGTCAGATACAGATCTGATTTCAGGCAACTGCAAGATAAGCCTAAATATTCCATGCACGAGGCTTAATTATGGGCATAGACTTCCTCCTCTGAAGTTCAGTGAAGAGAGGTCCAAAAGAGTAGTGAATTTTCCTTGCTCTGGCATTTGGGAGTCCAAATGGAACCACTTTAGAGCAGGCTACTTTTCAGAGGGTGCATTTCCAGAAAGCCCCCCCATTTTAGGATGCCTCATGCTGAGGGCTCAGAATCACCAGTTGCCAGCAGATAGCATGGCTTTTGTTCTCTTCATTTGGTATTGCGTTCAAATGTACCGAGGGGTACCTGCTAATTTTGCTTCCTGATTTATTTTAAGATACCTGTCTCGGGTACCTCCATGGGCCCTGTCACTATAGTGCCTGAGCCTCTCATAATCTTTGCATGGTTTTATCCTTGCTGCACTCCTTTGAAAATCATAAGTGATTTGACCAAGGTCATAAAAGAGGCTTAGGGAAATTAATCTGGGTTTCCCAAGTCTAACATGCTAAGCAGTAGGTAACCCTTCTTTACAAATGCAGAATCATTTCGCACAGGAGTTCTGTGGCCTTTGCAGAATGTGCACAGCACCAAAAGAGAGAAAAATCTTATCCCATGGCAATGACCCCAAGTACTGAAATGGGAAGGGCATCTTGGAAAAAGTAATTTAATTTATGTTTGGTTTATTTTAATACAGTTCAGTAGCTGGAAATGAGGAAGAGGGGCTAACACTATATGCCCAGCCAGCTCTTAGAAAATCATCCACAAGGTCTTTGCTGACCAGAGTTTGGTAACCAGGGGTCTATAGACTTTTCACTGTGTGCAACATCTAGATGGCTCTGCTTTTGGCAAGTCGTGAGAGAAAACAATCAGCCAACAGCTCTTTTCCAATTTCTGTTGGTTTTACTTGCACTTTCTTTGGCAGAAAGAGGAAGACATGGGAGGCAGGCACTTTCCTATTAAAAAATCAGGTACTTGGCCAATGTATTCATCTGAATTTGATGCAACTGAATTTCAACCCGCCCCAAATGCTGGAGAAATAATTAGCAACTGGGATTTCTTGAGCTCTAATGTCCTTCTTCAGGAGTATGGTGAAGCCAAGAAGGGCTCATACGGACCTGCTACAACTTTGAAACAATCTAAAAGAGACTGCCAGCCAACTGCACTGTAAACTACACCAGCCCCTGGCCCACAGAGCTGCAATTTGGATATACCTGAACACCAGTTGAGGAAATACTCCTATACAACAGAGCCAGCTCTGGACTTATGTACTGGTTACAGACCATGCTGCATAACAGCAAATCTCAGTTCAGATCCTCCTCCACTTACCACCTGAGGCTGGGTGTTGTGGCTCTGGAACCTGGGTGTTGTGGATCTCTTGGAAGCAAGGTAGTTTAGATAGACTGGGCGAGAATCAGCTATAAAACAGCCCCTCAGCAGAGGACAGAAACTGAAGGCTTCACTGCCTAAGAGTGACTTAGAATTTACATTGCACAGCACATCAAATAAAGACACTGAAAAGTAATGCAGCAAGTGAAGTTGAATGCAATTTTGGAAATCACTGATAAGTGGTAACCTGTGACAATGGGTGCACAGAATAGCCTTTCTGATCCTAGCAGGACCACTTCTGGAATAGAGGGGGCACCTTATTGTTCAGCTGCTTAGTCATCATCTCAGGCTTCCTTTTGCAGCACAGGAGTCTTGATTCCTACCTGGTTGCAAAAGGGTGAGAATCCCCACGTGCCAAATAAGGCTCCATCAAAGTCAATGGCGTGTTTCCCACGTCTCCCATGAGCTTTGGTGGGGCTCGGATCTGTCCTATCCCTCCACTGGAACCAAGAGGCCAGGTGGAATAGGAAATATGTATAGGAGATGTACACTGAAATTTTAAAAGCTGTCTGGGTTTTCAGGCATATATGTCTACACTGCTACTTATGGCGGTCTTCAGGGCCACCATCAAGTAATATACCAACTACCCACATTTAAAACTACTTAGCTTGACTCCTAACAGAATTGCAGCCTGACCCAAGAAGCTCTCCTAAGCTCAGAGCTGGAACATAACTCATCCCTGACTAGGGAAGCCCAAATGACTTGCTTATGGCCAGACAGGAAGCCTGTAGCTGATAATGGAAATAAACCAAAGTTTCCTCCAGCCTAAGCTCATGACATCACTGATCCATCATCTTTCACTTGCAGCTAGACCAAGTGTGAGTGTTTCCATGAAAAGTAATAATAGGACACTCGTTCTACAATGACAAATGAGATTTAAAAAAAAAATGTACATGCTGGAAGAGATGTGGGTGGGTCACAGCTCACAGCAAATGTCACTGCTGAAGACTGAAATGCCACCGCCAAAGATGCTTCATCTTTGTGAGAAACAGCTCTGCATATCAACTGGCAGTACTTTGCAAGCCACTGAAAATTGCTGCCTTAGAATTTCTCCTTTTAAAAAACAACATGAGGAATCAAAGGGAAATCACTGCACATTAAAAATAGTTTTATTCTAATGAACAAGTTTTGTTCTCATTGTAATAGCTCAGTTGGGGATGATGCTGTCATCATTTAATCATGAGTTTGCCTTTAGTACATTCAGAGATATTACAACATCATAGGCTAATGCTGGTAGGGTGGATTTGCAGCTGTTTGTAAAAAGATAGTATGTACCTACTTTTCCAAAATTCATTTGTGGTTGAGTTACACAGTTCCTGCAGTGTCTTTAAGTATAAAATAAAGTGTATGAGTGGGTGAAATATTTTGTTCAAAGATGCATGGAAGAAATATTGCAGTGGGTAGTTGGGCTAATGGACTTCATACCACATTTATGTGCAGACCTAACTGTGCAGAGGCACACAGGCAGACTTCAGATAAATAGTAGAAACGTGTTATGTAGCTAGCTCTCTAGGAGTTGCAGCCCAAAATAATCTTTAAGAGTATTTAAGCTCTTAATTTAATGTTAACATTGAACTCCCACTGAAATTAATTGAGGATGCAGACCTGTGGGTCTTTCATGATCTTCCCACATATTCAGTTTAGAATTGGTTTTCTGACAGATGGATGCTTGTTAATGGAAATACTTGTGATAGAAAGTTAACTTCAGGGAGTACCTATGCTCCTAATCAGGTCAGAATTTTTTTTTTCAGAAAGCTGTCCTAGACTTTAGAAATATTTAAAGAGGTAGAAGTTGTTTTGGGAACAGACTATAACTGTGTTTTGGACCCAAAAGTAGATAGGTTGGATAGAAGTAGGAAAAAAACCCAGAAAATCAAGCACAGCACTAAGATTATTAGTAGATATTTATGAACTTATTGACTCCTGGAGATATTTAAATCAAAAGAACTAGATTTCTCTCTTTCTTCAACACCAGGCAAACCATGTTTGAATAAATACAATCCCAGTATCCGAATTATTACTTAGCAATGCTATATGAGCCAAAGAAGGCAGACCCCAACCAAGAACAGTTATTTCTTAGACATAGGGAAAATACACCCAAAAAGAAAACTTGGTGACTGCACATCCTACTTGTTTTTGACCAGGAAAGAATCAGAACTACTAGAGATGAAATCAAGCTCTATTTTGATTTCAAGGATGAACATGACTCTAAACTAAGCAGCCACTCAACTCGACGAAATAGTCGAGGAGTCATCACCTTCTTCGAGATACGTGAAACCTAAATCATAGGCTAGTTGCCACTGTCCCGCATCCCCACAAATCCGAAGCTGACGCTTATTCAGTCCAGAACGCTGCAGGAGGAATCCGAACATATATCGTTCTTCCTGTGTCCTCTGGTGCAACGCTGAACGCTCGGATTCACAGCGTCTCATATTTGGAGCCTCAGTTGGTCGCTGATACTCCCAATCACTGGACGATCTTGGGTCCAGGAGGACACGCAATTTTGGCAACTGTCGAAGAAGACTGCTCACAGGGTGATCAACCATGGGACTAAGCAGAATC